GGCTGCAAATCAGGCGAAGGCAGCTGTTTTCTTACCTAATCAACTTTGCTATGTCCAATTTCAACAATATTACTGGGGTTTTTTTCCTAACACACAACCATTAATTCAACACCTCGATACGTGTTTCGATCACCAAGTGATCATCTTCAAGAGGAAGATCAAACCAAACATACATGTCCTTTATTTCACGTATGAGTTAGAAAATATAGAACAGCTTCCATTTCTTGACGTTTTGGTAATGAGGGGCCAATATGGAGGGCTGGAATACGATGTACTTAGAAAAGAAACAAACACGTACAGGTATAGTCGAAGTAACTGATATAGTAATCTTAAAGGTGTCGGCGAAGTCAAAGGCCAAAAAAACCAATACAAAGGAATTATACCGCAACGAATTAGTCCACGTAGACTGAAGAATTGGCGGTTCGTATTGGATCATTTTTACTAACCGAGTTTTATGATTGGCTACACACCAAAGGTTCCAAACAGTGCATTAGAAGTGCAATTTCAACAAGTTTACGAGTTGTCTTGAACAATAAATACAATACCTGATTCCGAATTTCAAGCGTCACTGAATAATTTTATTACTAAGTACTATCTTGACAAAATTACATTCAAATCACGCCGCGCTGCAAGGGTTAAGATGCGTTCGTATCGTAAACAACATTAAGGGTTAACTACCCTGCCTTCCCCCTCGCTTGCGGCATCCGATCACAGAATGTTATTTCTGAACTCAGATGCGAGAAAAGGACGGGGCGTATTTCTAACAGTGTTGGCGAGGTCTTTGTTTATTTGTGAAGCTCGTAGGCGTTCAGTGAATTCCAATACCAATGCCAAGGTCTCGTTCGAGGGACCTGAATGGGGGCTCAGACACAGTCGGCAGTGGCGCGGCACGCGACTGAAGCGGAGGGTTCAGTTGCGCTTAATATCATGTCGTGGAAAAACAAATTAGGTCCGGTTTCATTAACAATTTCAATCCCGATTAACAATCTTAGCAAGAGTTTTTAGTAGCGGCAATCTTGTTGAGTTTTACTACTCTCTCGTTTCCATTAAAACTACCTAATTCGGATCAATGCTTAAGCGAGTACTATGTTGGACTAAGTCAACTTGTCTTTGTGAATTCCAAGTTAAAAATATCTCATTTTCGCTTTTCTCATATCCAAATCTCCGCCAAAATCTGCATTTGTATACCTTTCGAATTTTATACTATGAAAACCAGATTTGTTGTACTCTATTCCACGATTTGAAGTTGTTTTCAGGTACTTGAATCTTTTCTCTGCTGCTTTGCCATAGGTATATACAGAATAACTTTTAGCAGGCCCAGTATTCGCAGATAGATACATCAGAGTTCCTATTGCTTCTTTGTAACGGATATTTTATGAAGTTTCATCATATTACCATCTTGCAGCTGATTTTTGGAACTTCACTCCCAGTTTTAACTGGTATCGAAGAGAGGTTATAATCCATCATATAGAATTTCTTAAGAGAGTTGTTGATGACAATTGTTTGCAGTTAATATCCAGCTTTTCTCATTTCATCACCAATATTTTTTTTAGAACTTTATGCAGATAATGCAATCATGGTTACAATAAACATTTTAAATAGTAATTGAGATAGCAGCACTATCCAAAAAAAAGTTATCCAAAGCAGCACCAACATGCTGGTCTCGGAAAACTAGCTAAAAACAATATAATAATAC